GACTACTTTACTCTCCCTTAGAGACAGAAGGGAGGGAGACGACTAGGTCTCTCATATACAGACAGATGGGAGAGGGTGGAGACCAACTCTTCCTCACATTAACTCGTCAGGGAAAGTAATTTTAACTCGCCAAGAGAGTACTTCACCTTAACTGGCCTGGAGTCTCACCTTAACTCACCAGAAGACTCCCCTTACCTCACCAGGAGAGTCACTTAACTCGATAGAAGACTCACCTAACACACCAGCAGTGTCACCTTAACTTGCCTAGAGAATCAACTTAACTCGCTGGAGGATTCACCCTAACTCACCTGGAGAGACACCTTAACCGGCCTGAAGAATCACCCTAACTCGCCAAGAAAAGTCCCCTTTAACTGCTGCATAAGCCCCGCCCAACCTCAGTGAAGAGAGCTACTTTAAATTCTACCCTGGAGTGAGCCGCTCTACCACCCAGAGGTTTTGGGTCACTATAACCTCACGAGAAAATACCATTTGTACACTCAGATGACAATTTCCAAGACAATAGTAAAACCACCACCACCACCACCAACACCACCACCATCACCGTCACCACCACCACCGCCACTGTCACCGTCACCATCACCTTCACCGCCACCATCACCGCCACCGCCACCGCCTCGACCACCACCACCACCACCCCCACCACCACCACCACCACCACCACCACCACCCCCACCACCCGTCTTTTAATCATTTTTTAGTGAATTGTCTTGGCTTAGCTCATAACAACCGAATTGTTTGGCTTTGATTTCTTATTAAAGTTAAAAAATAGGATTCGAATTTACAAGAAAGTAAGTAAATTTAGTTTGATTCTACAATAATGTCAATAAATGAGTAGGAGGGCAAGGTAAAGTGGCTTCCAAAATAAAGGCATTGGCCCAAAATCTTCAGGAAGGGATCGTTATACTTGCGGCTGGAGAGGGTTACTTTAAGCCGAGAGAGAGAGAGAGAGAGAGAGAGAGAGAGAGAGAGAGAGAGAGAGAGAGAGAGAGTGTGTGTGTATCTCAGAGTTGCCTTAACCACCTGGGGAAGAAAAATGTGAACTCTTGAGAAAGAATATTTTAAATCGGTCGAGTAATGATCGTTTTAACCTCACCTTCAAACGATTTAAGAGTAATCTCCTGGGGAATAATCGCTTCACCTCCGCCTCTTCCTCCTCTTATCAGTCGTTCCTCTTCCATTGTGTTGCTTCAGGTATATCTTGTGGACGTTGAAGACTACAAAACCCAGTAATGGAACTTCGATCGTTGGTATTACCAGTCCTCAGTAACTTAGGCTGGAAAGACACACTCGTAACCATTAAAACATATTTACTTTATAACTCTCAACCAAACCAAGATTCTCTTTTCATATAGAAACCAAACTTTACCTGTGATGGTTGATTTAAGAATATCCAGAGTAAAGTGAAATTTAATTAAAGAAGTTCCCGTGTAAATGAACGTCTAGTTTTTTTTCTTCAAAGTTCGTCTCTGTTACAGCAACATCAGGACTAATGCAACGACATTCACTTCTCGAAACGCATCTGACTTTATTGTAGACAAGAAAACTCCAGTAGAAATCAATAGGTGTCTCATTTAACCAGTAACACACACACACACACACACACACACACACACACACACACACACACACACACACACACACACACACACACACACACACACACAGAAGAGAGAGAAAATATGTTGATCTTTCTCACACTGATGACCAATAAATGTCTCCTAATTCACAACACTTTCCGCTTGGTGGCTGTTCTTACACTTTATGATGATGTATGCTAATATTCGGGGCTAAATACCTGCAGACATTGAGGTGATAAGTGTCATTGAATTATACAAATACTACTACTACTACTACTACTACTACTACTACTACTACTACTATTACTACTACTACTACTACTAATAATAATAATAATAAAATACACCTTGGAGGGCTAAAATACCACGTCAAGGCCGACCATTTGCTGCTGAAATATAATTATTGGTTGTACAGTCAACACTTTGTCCTCAGTAAGTAAATATATGTGAGACATGAGAGTCGATTAAGTTGTTGGCTTAGTTACGAGCTTAAAGACCTCAGTTAATGTAGCACAGTAATGAAATCGCAATGGCAAAGTATAATAAGGGTGGCACTAAGATTGTTCCATAAGGGTGACACTAAGATTGTTCCATATGGGTGACACTAAGATTGTTCCATATGGGTGACACTAAGATTGTTCCATATGGGTGGCACTAAGATTGTTCCATATGGATGGTACTAAGAATGGTTCAGAAGGGTGACACTAAGATTGATCCTTGTGAACCATTCTTAGTGCCAACCCTTAAGTGAATATACAAAGCATGTTCATATAATTATTGGTATATAGACAACGTGAAAGGAAGATATCTATTACGCAAAAACTGTTGGAGAAATAAAATAATTACAATCAGAGTAAAAAAATTAAATTTGAGGTCAGGGGTCAAGGTCACAACAAACATTTTACCAAGTCTGGATAAAGTGAGGACAAAGAGAGGTGGAGACTTCAGGTTACCGCCTAAACGTTCCCTGGTCGAGTGATCTGGGTAAGTTATATACCTTCAACGACCGTTCATTACTTCCTGAAGTCATTCGGCCAATACCAAGGTGCTCACTTTACCGTCTTTTTCTGAATCTGTGTTTCTTGAACAGTTTTGTCTATTAGTCTGTCTAGTGCTCGTAAAAGCTTCTCATATTATGAATGTTATTAGATAAGTACTACCTCGTAAAAGATTCTAATATAATAATTGTAATTAGATAAGGTGGTTATTGATGTTTGTTATCGGTATAATAAGTCAGGGATGATGTTAAAGCAATATTTCTCTTACTTTGAATTGTATTTCATAAATGCTTCAATATTAATAAGATAAACCTTGCCAGTTGACCTGAGAGGATGATAGTGAGGAGAGTCGAGTGTTAAGGTGAACAGACAGACAGACAGACAGACAGGCAGACAGACAGACAGACAGACAGACAGGCAGACAGACAGACAGACAGACAGACAGTTGAACTTATCGCTGGAGCTTAAATATTCTTGAAGTAAAAATATTTATTTATTATTCTGGTAAAGAAGATTCATACGTTTATCTGTCTGTCACTTTAGAAGAAAATATTGTAAACACATACGGATACATAAAGATACTTAAGGTAAAGACTTATAAGAGTCGTGACATAACCTCAGAAGACTAAGTCCTGATCACACGATTCATTTTAACCTTACTGGAAATATCTGTGTTTGTTCAGGAGTTATCTTGTGCGCTTATATTTTCTCGTGTTATGTTAATATCATGTATGTAAATTCTGTGGTTAGGTTAGGTTAGGTTAAGTTAGATAAATACTGAATAGTTATAGAATATGGAAAATTAGATACTTTGACTACATAATTAGGGACTTTTTAGTGTATAAGGTGTTTACATGCATCTGGCGTTTGCATGTATCAGGTTTTGTCATGAGCTAGGTGGCAAATTCCACGTATCATCAAGTACAGTCGTTATCACCTGAAACTCTAATGTGTTATCGGGTATTATCGTGTAATACCTGGTTTTATCATATGCCGTGTTGTGTGACCTCTTCTTAAAGTTATTTATGCATGTGTTATATCCTATCATTTGTTATTCTGTGTTATGTACTGTGGTTTTTTCATGCGTTTATATGGACTTGCTTTGTGTTGAGTCGAGGTTGCGTGTTGACTGGGGTTGTCATTTACTAACTGGTCTTTATAATCTGCTTTAAGGTGTTGGAATCATGGAACGTATGTTATTTGGACGTGTAAATAGCTATGCCTTCATGGTGTAGGCCAAATTGGTCTTTGTTTTAGAATTTCAGTCAGTATTTGACTTTTCAATTAATGGTCTGCCAGGTGAGGGCCCTCCAGGTGTCTCGTAATACTTGAGATCAAAGGCTTACATTGTATGGTGTATGTATGTTAATTATCGTAATACTTCACTATAATGTTTTTTTTGATACTCACAACTTCATCTCTTGTACCGACAGTTAGTAGATACTTTGGATATTCCTCTTCCTTGTACACATAAAGCAGGGGTTTGTGTATTAACTTAACAATACACAAACACACTAAGGCCACAACAAATGCAATATAAATTAGTTCTCATTATTCCTAATAGAAATAAGAGAAAGATGAACAGAATTCTCAGAAAATGTTTATAAAGAATAATGTAATTTCTCTACCCTGAACTATGAAACATTAGTAAGCTCTCATTTTATAAGACTTATATTTAAAACAAAGATTTATGAAGTCAGTTTTATTGCGTGATATGAACAACCTAATTCCAGCCACTGACATGATATATTAAAATGACATTGTGGTTCATACTAGTAATTGTGGTAGAATTTCTTTAAGGTAAAAAATAAAAAGACTATTTCTCTAGTCTCTTATAATACTAATGAATGAATGATCCTATAATTATTAACATCTATTATAGGTTATGTATATAATCTAGATATATCGGTAATATTGATGTAATATAGTGACTTTATGATATCTTTAAGTAAGGAGTTGAATGTGATATAATCCTTAGCATAATGAGTGTATTACGGAGAAGTAGACTGAATAATATTAATGGACAATAGTCAGGAGGGAGAATATAAGAATAATTGGGTTGAATTTGAGACAGCACAATGAGTTCTCTCTCCACTCATCCACCGCTGCTGCACCTTTACCAGTTCTATGATATTTTGTTTCTATGCTCCGTGATCATCATGTTATAACCCCCCCACACACACAGACAGAGAGAAAGACAGACAGACACAAAGACACACAGACAGACAGAGAGACAGAGAGACAGACAGACAGACACACAGACAGACACACAGACAGACAGACACACAGACAGACACACAGACAGACACACAGACAGACCTATGTTTCGTTATCCATACATATATAAACGGCTATAAACATCTTTCATGCTTACAATGAACTTGGGAAAATAAAACAAGAAATATATCATAAAATATACAATTTAATACATATTTGTATACAAAATCTCATGGGAATATCAATTCAGTATTTACATATAGCTTGGAAACACCAAAGACAACTTGATGAATAACTTACAACCAATTACAAAGCTTCAGAGGATAAGACTAGAGAATGAAGTGAGCAGTGCTGAGCGGCCCTCTTGTGCACTGATGTTGTCCTGTCGTCTGTCTATCTCACTATGAAGATGGTCAGGGTTACATTACAGGGGTTATATTACACACACACATCCACAGTATATATATATATATATATATATATATATATATATATATATATATATATATATATATATATATATATATATATATATATATTGTGGGGTTTTCTCGATTTAAAATGAACAAGTCGGTAATAGGCCAATCAACAGACAGTGAGTCGCCCACAGCCAGCCAGGCGGTGAGTCGCCCACAGCCAGCCAGGCAGTGAGTCGCCCACAGCCAGCCAGGCAGTGAGTCGCTCACAGCCAGCCAGGCAGTGAGTCGCCCACAGCCAGCCAGGCCTCGAGTCGCCACCGGTCAGCCAGCCAGGCAATAGGTTGCCCCCAACCAACCAGCCAGCCATCCAGTAGGTCGCCCCAGCCAACCAGCCAGCCATTCAGTAGGTCGCCCCAGCCAGCCAGCCAGCCAGCCGGCCAGGCAGTAGGTCGCCCCAGCCAGGCACAACACTTACAAGACGTAATTACACAGCAGGAGAAAACTTGACCTTTATCCCAATCACCGTAATTTTGGTCAGCCATTATATATAATTAGTCATTTGCTTTAGTCGTCGTAGCAATGTTTTATTTTCTGAGAGTGAATCACCATAACCACCTGAAACACCGCCGTCACCAGTTGTGTTACAGTTAGTAGGTGTGTTACAGTTAGTAGGTGTGTTACAGTTAGTAGGTGTGTTACAGTTAGTAGGTGTGTTACTGTTAGTAGGTGTGTCACAGCAGGTGTGTCACATTTAGTAGGTATGCTACAGTTAGCAGGTGTGTCATAGCATGTATATTAAAGTTAGCAGATGTATCAATTTAGCAGATGTGTCAGTTAGCAGGTATGTTACAGTCAACAGGTGTGTCACAGTTATCAGGTGTGTTACCACAAAGAGGTGTTACAGGGATCTGGTGTCAATATCTCCAACTGTTGTCACTGTTAAATCGTTTGTCCATCTCGTCAGTTGTATCACCATCACCAGAGTCAGTCATATATCAGGTGTGGCACTGTCAACATGTCACTAATTACCAGTTGTATCACCAACATCACTTTACCAGCGGTGTTGGTGTCAGGTGTCACTATCACCAGTTGTGTTACCATACATATATATTAATGTCAACCAATTATCACTGTTGATGTGAATCATTGTCATAAGCACTCACCATCCCTAGGTATCACCCTTGGCAGGTGTCATCTCTACCATGTGTGTCAACATCATCACCACCAGATGTTACCGTCAACAGATGTTTTAATCATGTCACAACGTGTATTTAGTGTATAATGTATTACTGATCTTGGGTTAGAGCACGCACGGTGTTGTCTTAATGTTAAGTGACAACATCATACACCGTCTTAGTTCCATTTTAATCTTCTTGAGGGTCTTTGTACCTGCCAGCCCTGTCCCAGTCATCACAAGGTACAAATGGGCTCTCCCTCTGCTGAATATCACATACCACAAATTACGGTTGAACCTGGTAATATATCATCTTCATTAGGAGTTGACAAACACCATGTTACGAAAAAAAAAATGTTTCATAAATAACACTGTGAAGAGAACATTTGATAAGAGTACTGAGAGGAAAGTAGGATGGGCAAGTGGCGGCCAGGCCAGAGCCCCACCAGCGAGCATCTTGGAGGACAACAACTCATGACGATGTTACTGTCTCATACTGGCCAGAAGCAACAACTCATGAACCTGCTTTGGTCAGGAGCATCACAGGGGCAACAAGCAGCTGCTCCCCTGTCTCTTACTGGCCAGGAACAACACAGGTGCAGCAACTCAAGAAACTGCCCTCATGTTCCTTACTAGTCAGGAACAGAAGCTCACGAAGCTGCTCTTCTCACTTCCTTGTCACAGAGGCTGAAGTCTGGACACATCTTCACCTTCCTGGACAATTTGATTCTCCACTCGTCGATCACCGTAAGAAAAAAGAAACTCATAAATTTGTTTCCTCACAAGCTAAATAAAAGATATGGGTTGTTTTTCTCTCTCGTCCCCACACCAATGATTGAAAGTACATGGGAGTAAAATATTAAACCATTTATCATTATAAATTATTTACAAGAAACCGATGTTTACCACCGGCCAGTTTACTAAGCCATAAATTTCTTATATCATTGACAGTAACGCCTCTGTTGCTGACGACAAGTTCTTCAATAAGTTTATCGTCGCGTTGTAAGTGCTGTTAGTCCACAGAATCTCAAGCACTGTTTTTTTTTTCTATATAGTGTAAATTAAAACTGTCTGTAGTTCTTCAGTCTTCAACTCCACCATATTCATTGATATAATTCAGATAGATTTTTTTTCTGTTTACATATTTAGTTTCCCACACTCTGTTAAAGAAGAGTTCAATTGTGTACTGAAGTTGGGTCCCAGAGCGAATAAACTTTGATAACGTCAGTGTAGGCAACAGAGACCTCACGGATCAGCTAACGAATTATCCACTTGGCCAAAACACCAGGCCTGGGCACCCTTGTCTGGCCCGTCTGATTTTACCAACACAGCCACGAACAGACAGAACAAAGTATTTCCATTATGAACTGGAATGACGGTAGAATTAGGTAGAGGATTCCCGCCTCACCCCCAAACACAACTACTTACATTAATAACAAAAAAATCCTACAGTGTGTGGGAACAGTGAACGCAGCCATCATGGGGAGGGTCGAGGGCTGAGGCGGGGGCACTCCTTCACCATGTAATAAAATATTAACACTAGTTTAAACGTTTTCCTGCACACCAGTTTTAATGTCTTGCTGTGGTCTCTAAGTATTAACTAAACTGCGATATTATTGTTTTTCATTAAAATAAATTTCAGATATGATAATTTATCTGTAAGATTATTTGTCTTACCATATGTTCAATTGTTGAATCTAAGAATATGATACATTAATAATTTGAATATCGATAAATTGTATAAACTTCTTTGGGTTATGCTCAGTTAACTGGTCATATAAAACTGTTTATAATGTGACTTAAGAAAAACAATATTTGGATATGAATTCTTGACTAAAGGGAAAAAATCTTGGGATTTATTTCACAGGAAAAAAATAATAATAAAAAAGGTTTTCAGGGGATGATTGCAGAGTTAACATTGGTGCCTAGAGCGAGTGTAGCAGAAGTTGGCTGCTCCTGTGGCAGGGACGACGCGGCTCACGAGGATCAGGTCCCAGTGGACACGACTAGGTTTGTGAAGCACAGCAGTAGCAGCTGCAGGGACAGCAGGAGGGAGACAAGGGTGGCACCAGTGGCATTTGCCAGGCCCTGGCTGCCTGAACCCAACCGCTGGATGGCTGCTGTCTTGTCACCTGTGAACGGAAGAACACACCTGTCACTAATACCTGTGTTACGCTGGGCAAGTGTTAGCACGGATGAGGATATGTGACTAACTGTAACGCTGAGTAACTGTAACATAGTTATTGATGACGTGCAACGGTAACATGAACAATGATGACGAGTGACTTAAATTAGCGGTAACAATGTGTGTCTGTACATCATTAGTAACGATGTAACACCAACAGCGATGATGATAACTATAACAAAAGGTAATAATAGATGTTATAACAATAATGATAACTTAGCTTAGCTTAGCTTAGCTCAGCTTAGCTTAGCTTAAGTTAGCTAGGTTAAGTTAGGTTAGGTTAGAATACCCTTTACACAGGAACCAGAAGTACAATTATTGGGGACTGAAAAAAAATTGACACACGAGGCAGGTGATAACAGGTGCCAGGACGTAATAACAATAGATTTTGAATAACATAAATTGTAGTGACATGTGGTAGTGATATGATAGTTACTAGCTGTATGGACGAGTGCTGGTAGCTAGTGTCCAAATGTAATAGGCTGCTAGTAACGTAAACAAAAATAATAGGAGCTAGTAATAAAGATAATGGAGCTAGTAAAAGGAGCAATAGTGATAGATGATGCTAGTAATAATGATAATGTGTGTTGGTAACTAACAATATAGCGAATATCAACACCATAAACAATGATAAGGGTAATAATAGGGTAATAATGATCAATTTTACTGAGGTTAAGCTGTGATAGCAAGTGGTAAAAATTTAAAAGACACGTTTTGCTCGAATCGTCAATACTAGAAAAAATATTTACTTCTGCACAAAAATGTCAGTGTAGTTTACTTTTTTTCATTATAAAATTACAATATTTTCTACTCTCTCTCTCTCTCTCTCTCTCTCTCTCTCTCTCTCTCTCTCTCTCTCACTTTCTCTCTCTCTCATTCAGTGTACAATAATTTCGTCCCTTTTTTCAATATGATTTTTTCTTTTATTTTCTTGTCGTGGAAGTAACACCTATATAATTTCGTATAGGAAAGGTCAGATGTAATTCAAAGGAGCTGTACAAACTGGTCATGCAAGATAGGTATTAACAAGTAGGGAGAAATAGGACCACTAATAATATGAGTAGAAGTATTTTATTGCGACTAATGTTGTGTTTTTTGTTCATACTAAGATTATTACAGATTATGTGATGGCGTGATGGCTATCTCGACCAAGGTGACCAAGCTAACCCCCATGCTAGAGAGGCCACTACACACACACATACATACACACACACACACACACACACACACACACACACACACCATAATTCCCAACTACGACCAGATTCTCTAAGATTATTCATTCTATTTATTTTTTCTCCTAAGTAAATACGATACAACGTAGATACTTACGAAAAATTCTGGTCGCTGATTTTATGGGTATAATCGATGATGATGATGATGATGATGATGATGATGATGATGATGATGATGATGATGATGATGATGGTGATGATGATGATGATTCTTATTTAAAAAACACCTCGTAACAACGGCCGCTTCCTGGCTCACTGGTAAATGTTGTCAGTCAATTCTCATTAGTGTCAGAGATAAAACATTTTGATGTATGGCAGTTGAATAATCACTAATGGGTATCAGATAAATAAACAATGATAATGGGTGACAATCATATATATATATATACTAATGGGTGTTAGAGACGAAAGATGATAACTGATAACAATATTACGGAAACATAAGCACTTTGACGGTGATAACAAACACTTGATTGCTTAAGGCGAGTGAACTTTAACACAAAAACTTTACCCAAGTACAGGGACAAAGTTATACTCTTTCTTTTAAAACTGAGCTAAAATTATCTTAGGACCAGTCTTATGAGATATGACATAGGGGTTATACATCCGTTATGAGTTTCTTTACCGCTGTTCATGTTGTCTTCCTGCCATTCAAACTGTTTTAACAAATTTACATCTTGATGAAAACTAAGGTGATTGTGTTATATTTTATATGTAAATAGTTTTTAAATCGGGTGAAAATATGATACACGTTTGTTTTATGGAACTGTGTGTTATTTGATGGTAATTATGCAAAACATCTTTGTTCATAAAGTGTTATTTGCTATATTTCTTCAGTCTGACGATATAATTTGTATTAGTTATGCTAAAAAAATAGTATATTTCTTTTTACTTCGGCATAAAATGTTAATAGGTTTATGCAGATTTTTAATTCTTTCTGATAATTAATCGACAAATACTGATACATTATTTTCAATGACAGTTTCAGCACACCATTTGCTTCCGAATTAAGATGGCGATTTCGCGACAGTACTTATATTATGATATAAATATAAAAAACTTCTGTAGCTGATTTAAGGCGGTGTAAGTACAGTACTAGAGCACGTTATTGAGGCTTATGGCGGCGTTTGGGATGTAGGAGGTGTTCGACCCACGGTGTCTAGTTAGAGCAGGTGTGTGGGTGTGGTCCTCTTTGCGAATTCCCCAGCATATCAAACAAACACTAGAGTATTATGTATGTTTATGTTATCATAAAACTCTAACAATTCTCATTATTTGTACTGAAAAAACAAAAGATTAGGAAAATTACGACTGTTCAAGGCATTTGGGACTAATAGTATGATTAGTAAGACGTGTGGGAGACTGAAATATACACAAAAGGAACTAACAGCTTTTATGGGCTATTGTGCAGTGCATGACATGCTTGCTACATATAAGGACAGGTCCCAGGAGTGGTTGTGGAATGCATAGCACTCGGGCCACACACTAGACAGGTGCCAGGAATAACTGTAGTATACATGGCACTCTGGCCACACACTACACAGGTGCCAGGAGTGACGGTAGTATACATGGCACTCTGGCCACACACACTAGAGAGGTGCCAGGAATAACTGTAGTATACATGGCACTCTGGCCACATATAAGACAGGTGCCAATAGTGTTTGTAGTTTAAATGTCACTCTGGCCACACACAAGGGCAAGTGCCAGGAGTGCTTCAGGCGTGACAGGGGTCAATAGATCTACTTCCAGGAAAGATGAGTCGTTCTGATTTCCATGAAAATAGAATCGGTGGAAGTTCTATGAAAACATAACAATAATTATTAACGTTGGTGGAATGGGGGAAGTTGAGAGTTGGAACATAAACAGAAAAAGACATAGAAAGGGGAAATAAAGAAAGAATCTGATAAGGCTACACAGAAACTATAAAGTAGACACAAACAAAGCAAAAGATGTATGGACATAGAAAGCAAATTATAGAGTAGGTACATAAACTGAACAATATTTAGAGTAGGAAAATATAGATAGTAAGGACAAATATATTAACTATAGAGTAGGGATGTAAACAAAGCAACTGATCTACTTGATATGAATGATGTTGATTGATGCAGACGTAAAAACCGACGATAAAAATTAACAGTCAGTCACATGATAAATGACTGTTGATAAGACTGAGGTGATTAATAATGATACTTAATGGTGAGATACATAACTTATTGATGATTGTGTTCCGCCACCATTAACTATTATGTTTGGTGACGATGGTATGAGTTCTGGTGAAGCTGTTGACAGAAACATGACAATAGGCATAAATGGCATGGCTGATGTCACTAAGATAGGATATCAATCATGGTGGCTTAGTGTGAATGTCACGTTGTCAAGGGTAATTGTGTTTGTGTCATAATGTCAATAATGCTAACTCGTATGATTTAACCAATGATGATATATGAGGAACGATAATATTAGTGATTTGTGAGTGACAAAAATGGCGATTGGTGAGTAACAAGAATATTAGTGATTGATGAGTGACAAAAATAATGATTTATGAGTGACAATAAAAAAATATATTATCAAGATATAAGAAAACTAATAATTGTTAAAGAGTGACAATAACAGCGACAAAAGATGAGGGTGAAAAAAAAATAATATTTGACAAGTATAACACAAAGAGCGATAACCTTTATAACACCAGCTATTACAACACGGGTAACATAATCAAAGTTGATGTATACCACTAACAGAGATATCAACAGCTATATATGTGTGTGAGGTATAATAGAAGCGAAGTAAATCAGTGAGTAGCAGATATATGATCAAAACTCTGTGTAATAAAGAAAATAAATGACATGAATGAAACAGAGAATAAGGAATGAAGTGAGTGATATAAACTGACATGAACCACACCAGAAAGTCATGTTTATAGTGAGTTACAATGACTTATGGGGAAAATAACACCTGACTATGATTACTATGAGGTAATGATTGCGGGTGTCACAGATTCTGTCAAATGAAATCAGTGAGACAAAGATGACAGGTGGGAATGACAGATGTAGTTTGAGTGACTGTGGTTGGTGGTGGTGATACGTGACTGTTACCTGTTACCTGTTACCTGTTACCTGTCACGTAAGAAGATATACATGACATACATACTGATAAATGGCATGATAGATCAAAGCACGTCAAGGAAAAACGACAACGATGATAACTATAGAAGGATAATAAAGATAACTGATGTAACTGGTGCATAAAGCATAAATTAGAATAAATGTGTAAAAACAGATACTGGTGATAACTGGAGGATAAGACATAAATTATGGTGAATAGATATATAAAAAAAATTCTTAATAATCTTCCTTAAAAGAGACAGGAACAATAATGGTTGATTTAAGGGTCATAATAGCTAATGATTGGTGAACGAGAAAATCAATGATAATTAGTTCGAGTGACATAATTTTAAAATAATTAGTAATAACAGGCTTAAAATATTGTTTAGCCTGAGAAATTTAATGAACCATGATTACTAGATGTGACATAATCGATGATGTTTTAAAGTAATGATGATTAGTCGGAGTAACATAAAAAATGAAGAATGTTGTACGCGATAAACATTGGCTAGAAAATGGTCACTAGAATTTTGTTTTTCCAGTAAGATAGATGTTTAGATGCAAACAACGATGATAAATAGATAAAATAAAGTAGAATAGATAATGGATTCCTGGTTAAAAAAATAAGTTCCTAATGATACCATAAAAATTATCATTGAATTATATTATAAATATTCATCCATCAACACTGATTAAAAATTTACCCATCAACTTTAAAAAAAAAAAAAAAATTCAGCCATCAACAATGAAAAAACAAACACATTCAGCCATCAACAATGGAAAAACAAGCAAAAACAGACATACTCGTCAACAACACTTATTTCGGACAAACAAACGGCACAGGTGAACGATAAAACTTATATAGACAGAAATGATTGATATCAACAAGGCATAATTGCTTGGTAATTGGTATGTGAAAAGAGTTATAAAATTATTAGGAAAATATTATATAGGCTATGACTAGGGTCGTTTCCTAGCTCTTGGTGATATGGGATTCTTATTCAAAAGGTGACTTCATTCTCCATTCCATATTTCCTTCACTCTTCAAGATTTGATTTGCTAGTGCACATCTCAGTCAACATTCTGAACTTCATTCTCTATTCCAAACTTCAAGCAGTATTTCCAGACTTCATTCTGATTAAATTCACTATTCTAAACTTTCATATAAAAAAAGAAAGAATACAAGAACACCAAGAGTTTGATATTTGCTTTTCAGTTATAAGACACTACGGATCTAGAGAGAGAGAGAGAGAGAGAGAGAGAGAGAGAGAGAGAGAGAGAGAGTAATATACCTTCAGAGACAACAAACACATTGACCTATAAAGAGATAAAGAAACAGACAGACATACAGACAGAGACAGACAGACAGACACACACACACACACACACACACATTGTAATATACCTTCAGAGACAAACACATTGACTGAGGACGGCGTGATGTTGCTAGCGCTGCACTTATAGTTGCCAGAATCCTTGAGACTGGCGTTACTGATGGTTAGCCTGGAGGTGGTAAGGTCCTGGTGATCCATGGTGACTGTTATGCCGCCTCGGGATTGGTCGTAGTTGATCATCTTGTTGTTGTGGTACCAGAAGATGAACTGTGGTGGCGACAGGCTCTGTAAACAAAACAGTAACAATAACAGTCTCTCATTTTCCTTAGTGTTATTTCCATTATATAAAGTATACAGAGTCGTTGAAAAATATTACCTATATTTTAAGTGGTGTTAAATAAAAATTCGGGCATTTTTTTTTCAATGGCTTTGTATACAGTAAATGGATATGGAAAATTACCTAAGCAACAACAGTGTATAAAAAAGAAAAATTAGGCCAATTATCGTTATGCAAGGGAATTAATTTGTACTATAGAGTATATTGTGATTAATTACGAATATATACAAGAAGGTGATGTCGTACAAATTGAATAATGTTACAGTGAACGGCCTCAGTATCATGGTGTGTGAGGCAACAGTTACAGTGAACGGCCTCAGTATCATGGTGTGTGAGGCAACAGTTACAGTGAACGGCCTCAGTATCATGGTATGTGAGGCAACAGTTACAGTGAGGCAACAGTTACAGTGAACGGCCTCAGTATCATGGTGTGTGAGGCAACAGTTACAGTGAACGGCCTCAGTATCATGGTGTGTGAGGCAACAGTTACAGTGAACGGCCTCAGTATCATGGTGTGTGAGGCAACAGTTACAGTGAACGGCCTCAGTATCATGGTGTGTGAGGCAACAGTTACAGAGGAACGGCCTCAGTATCATGGTGTGTGAGGCAACAGTTACAGTGAACGGCCTCAGTATCATCGCAATGAAAAAAACTTCGTTTGCCGCAGCGTAATATTAGCATAGAGCCGTGACGCATCTGTCAATACTCTTTGTGTAGCGCCGCCAGGAAATGCTGTTCTAAGGAGTCTTCTTTTTTCAGTAAAAAATGTCGGAGTTGAAGTGTATTAATCTGCTAGAGTCTGGTTAAGGCTTCTTTCTCCCGCGCTTTGTGTCGCCTGTAGAGCCTGAAGGCACATGATAATCACTTTGTCCTCCCTCCTTCTCTTCCTCCCTCTCTCTCTCTATGTTGTGTCGTGTGCGCTTTTAGGAGACTGAATCTCTCTTCCAAGTTATTTATCCGAAAATGAGCTGTAGTACAATTCTCTGGGCCACGCTATGTGAAGCTGGCAGGTTGTTGTAGAAAACTGATTTTTTTTTAAAGTTTAACATTAGGGAAGCAGACGGGAGGATGAGCCGATTAGATAATAAATTCTAATTAATATAATTGGCATGAATTCGTATATCATGTCAACGATCAAAGGCTTAAACGCTTCCCTGTCTCTCGTAACACATTTTTAATACTCATTGTATCCCAAAGATATATGTATGTATGAATATATGTATGTATGTATGTATGTATGTATGTATGTATGTATGTATGTATGTATGTATGTATGTATTAGTCTGGTCGTTATCCACCAGGTAGCACTGCGATAACTTGGATCGGAGGGGGTAAAGTATAGACGTTAAATAGTAAAAGTTTATTATTTCATAAAGATATAAAGTGATATAGTATTACATTATAATAACAGGAATTCAACTGTTATTTTCGTTTCTTGTTCTCGTTCATTCAGAATACTATATTAGTAGTTGAGATAAACGTTTGAGAAGGAACAGTATCGGAACTGTACTTTGGTCGTGTTAACTTTCTTGGACTGTTTTTAGTGATATTAAGAATAGAAGTCAACATTGAATGTTCCTCTCCACAAGTAAAAACAAAGAAAAAAACTGCAGATTACGAGAAACAAACATTAAGATGACAATAGATTTAGTCCTTTCTTTTACGTCATTGTAATTTCTTTCATATTTGGCGAACGTCCAATACTGTCAACAATACAGGAAAACCTTTATTCTCTCTACTATGTATTTCCATGCAGAAGTTTCGTACCTTTATGACGGTAACACTGTAGCTCATCAATTAGTAAGATTATTAATTTTTTACTTTGTAGGCATAATCTAAAACAGAGATTATAATTGCCATGTCATAAGGCAGTAAACGTGTTTGTTCTAAATTGGGAGATTAAGATAGCATTATTTTACTCTCCCAGCTGACCACAACATTGTTATTCTTTTGTTTCTGTTATCTGTGAATACGTCGGAATATAATGAAGTTATTCCTTAGCCCACAACTCTCACCAGCAGGATTTGGGTGATTTAAATGTCTTATATTTCAGGTGATAATTTCATCATAATTCGAGACACATCATTCAAATATGAGACTACTACTATTAATACTATGAGTACTACTATACTCTACTACTGTTACTACTACCACTATGGCTACTACTACTACTTATTGCCTTACCATACCATACCATACTACTACTACTAGTACTAATTATAATAAAAATAATGTTAGTAAGGAAATTAATCAGCCTTAGCCATATGACTTATCCCATAAACAAGCGTTATAATGCAGTAATAAAAATTCAAAGTCATAGAGAAAGGACAGGTAATAAAAGTCGAATGTCAATTAGAAAGAGAGTGAGGTTGTAGAGATAGGTCATAAGCTTCAGCGTAAACAGAAGCCGAAAGAAATGATCAGCATTTTCGAATCCTTATGTTCCAGCGCACAGTTTTAATTAATGCTGGCGAGGCGAACAGACAAACCTGCAAGGGCTTTTTTAATTGGGTTCTCGATGTGTGTGTTATTGATCATTACAATTACATACACGGAAAATAAAGATCTGTGTTCATAATATTTTTATGTGTCCTTATAGTAATTATATAAATCATGTATAAAAATGTCACAATCCTATAATTTTTAGGACAACGACGTATCATAATTTCAACTTTTCGATACAGATCTTGTCGAGGGTGACCAATAAATAAGATAAATTTTGAGCAAAATGTTGTCCAGGGGTGTGTAAACTTCATGTGGTCTGTGGGTGTCAAAAATTCATGATGTCTGGGGTGTTTAACCTCAGGGATACCAAACATAACAAAACCTAACCTAACCTAACCTAACCTAACCTCACCTAACCTAACCTCAACTTACTTAGCCTAGCCTCTCCCAACCCAACCCAACCCAACCTAACCTAACCAATTTTAACCTAACCTTACCTGACCAATCGTAAATTACCTTAACCTAACGTTATCTAACACAGTTTAACCTTACCTAACCTGTAATATTGTGAGCATCATCATCAAACGTGAACAGCAGCTTGGTTCCTTTCCAGTGTTTGGTGCTCTTTATCATAGAGTTCGGGAGATCATTGTGCTTACTCGTACTTCGTTGTAGCTGTTAAAGGTGAATATTGAAGGTATGAATATCCAGGAGACTATTTTATATTCCATCCTCCCCAGGTCAACTAATTTTACTCTGAGGATACCGTCCGTGGCGCTAGATCTGAGAGTCACATCACGTAGGGTCTGTGGGAGCAGTGAACTGGAGCCTCGGCTAAATCGTTGTGGTCTTGTCGGTACTGTGTCGATTGGAGGAAACAGTTTCACACTTGGAAGGGTTGAGACAAAGGGCTCCTTGTGTCCTGTTGTACTCTATCACGAGACTTTTATTTTAAGATCTCAGGGGTGCCAGACTTACGAGCCAGGGATCCAGTTTATCGAAAATAGCTTTAAATAATTTTCTTAGCCACAAAGTAAATATAAAATGATAAGATAAACCCTGCCTTATATTTTTGCTGCGGGTTCTTTGAAAATCATTTTAAAGCACAGTAACAATTGTGGTACGTGTAGAAGGAAAGGAAGAACTCTTGTTTATGTTATCAGTAGATGCGTCTTTTCTGTTTGTGTACAATACTTTTCTTAAATCCAGTTTACCCAGACGAGGTTGGTAATATAGACTGATACTGTTCTTAGTACCTTACAACTTTGAAATCCCAAATCCGAGATGTTTTGATTTCAACATTACATAAATTTATCATATGAGGGAAAACATAGATTACAATAAATAAATAAATATAAAGAAAGACTGATAAATGTAGAAACAGCGAGAGATGTGATAAAGGATGAAGTGTAAAGAATGTTTCCAGTGTAAATAAAAACATAAGTGTACGTAAAGAGAAGCGTATGTAAGGGTTAATTGTGAAGATTCCTAGTGAGATTGGGAGTTTAATTAGAATGTGCATTGTTGTAATAGTTGTTGAACCTTTACATGGGTGGGTTAGTGAGGGAAGTAAAAGAGAGAGTGGTGGAGAGGTGAGGAGGGATGGCTGACACGGAGGAGGGGTAGAGGGATGGCTGACACGGCTGAGGGGTAGAGGGATGGTTGACACGGCTGAGGGGTAGAGAGATGGCTGCCAGTGGATGAGAGGATGAATAGCTGACACGGGGATGGATAGAAAAGACAGACATAATGCACTTGAGAATAAAGTTTGGGGTGAATAGGTTAGAACGAATAAGGAAAACAGATTTACGAAGGAGAAATGGAAATAAATGCAATATCAGGGAGAGAGAGAGAGAGAGAGAGTTTATTAGGCTTCAGAGATATGGCATAAAAACAATGAGATAATGAAAAAAAAATGAGATGGAGAAATGGGGTAAAGGAGACAATAGATTTGGACGAAGAAAACCCTCCAGGCAGCAATAGTTTGTCACTATGACTAAATAACATTGTGTCAGGAGATGGTGGGGGAACGGTGATAGGTGATGTTGAATGACGTAAAGCGACATTAGACGAGTGATAATTTGAGGACTTATTGTAAAATGGAAATCCCAGGGCAGAACATGTTTCCTACAGCAGAGGAAGAATGAATGACAGAAAGGTAGATTCTGTTTCTGTTCTTATTACGGCCATTCTAAGGGCCGTTACGGTGGCTGGAAGGTTCCACGGTAAAAAAGATACATATTAGCTGATTTGATTTATCATTGGGATCTAACGGGACCTAATGTCAAGTATTCCCTTACGGCTACACTTTGATTGACTGGAATAAATAAGACGAAGTTCTTCTCTCTATGTAATTCCATTCATGACTGATGGTACACGTGATTCATTTCTCTCTTGTTGGTGTGATGGAACGGACGAAGCAGGAGGATGTCTGCTTTACTTGGGTGGTTCCTAGGGGTTAATTAACTTATTTGAGGAGAGCTGTGTTGGCTGCTGTTGTGTG